GAAGAACAAAAAAACCCCAAAGTTCACAGAAGGAAAGAAATCATAAAGATCCGATCAGAAATAAATGAAAAAGAAATGAAGGAAACAATAGCAGAGATCAATAAAAGTAAAAGCTTTTTCTTTGAGAATACAATAAACCACTAGCCAGACTTATCAAGAAAAAAAGGGAGAAGACTCAGATCAACAGAATTAGAAATGAAAAAAGAGAAGTAACAACTGACACTGCAGAAATAAAAAGGATCATGAGGGATTAGTACAAGTAACTATATGCCAATATAATGGACAACCTGGAAGACATGGACAAATTCTTAGAAAAGTACAGCCTTCCAAGACTGGACCAAGAAGAAATAGAAAATATTAACAGACCAATCACAAGCACTGAAATTGAAACTGTGATTAAAAATCTTCCAACAAACAAAAGCCCAGGACCAGATGGCTTCACAGGTGAACTCTATCAAATGTTGAGAGAGGCGCTAACACCTATCCTTCTCAAACTCTTCTGAAATATAGCAGAGGGAGGAATACTCCCAAACTCATTCTATGAGGCCACCAACACCATGATACCAAAACCAGACAAAGATGTCACCAAAAAAGAAAACTAGAGGCAAATAGCACTGATGAACATAGATGCAAAAATCCTCCACAAGGAGCCTGTGCTCCACAATGGGAGAGGCCACAACAGTGAGAGGCCCACGTACCGAAAAAAAAAAAAAATCGTCAACAAAATGCTAGCAAACAGAATCCAACAGCACATTAAAAGGATCATACACCATGATCAAGTTGGGTTTATCCCAGGAATGCAAGGATTCTTCAATACACGCAAATCAATCAAGGTGATACACCATATTAACAAACTGAAGAATAAAAACCATATACTAATCCCAATAGATGCAGAAAAAGCTTTCAACAAAATTCAACTCCCAAATATGATAAAAACCCTCCAGAAAGTAGGCATATAGGGAACACACCTCAACATAATAAAGGCCATATACGACAAACCCACAGCCAATATCGTTCTCAGTGGTGAAAAACTGAAACCATTTACTCTAAGATCAAGAACAAGACAAGGTTGCCTGCCCACTCTCACCACTATTATTCAACATAGTTTTGGAAGTTTTAGCCACAGCAATCAGAGAAGAAAAAGAAATAAAAGGCATCCAAATCAGAAAAGAAGAAGTAAAACTGTCACTGTTTGCAGATGAAAGATACTATACATAGAGAATCCTAAAGCTGCCACCAGAAAACTACTAGATCTAATCAATGAATTTGGTAAAGTCACAGGATACAAAATTAATGCACAGAAATTTCTTGCATTCCTATATACTAATGATGAAAATTCTGAGAGAGAAATTAAGGAAACACTCCCATTTACCATTGCAGCAAAAAGAATAAAATACCTAGGAATAAACCTACCTCAGGAGACAAAAGACCTGTATGCAGAAAACTATAAGACACTGATGAAAGAAATTAAAGATGATACAAACAGATGGAGAGATATACCATGTCCTTGGATTGGAAGAATCAATATTGTAAAATGACTCTACTACCCAAAGCAATCTACAGATTCAGTGCAATTCCTATCAAACTACCAATGGCATTTTTCAAAGAACCAGAAGAAAAAAATTTCACAATTTGTATGGAAGCACCAAAGACCCCAAATAGCCAAAGCAATCTTGAGAAAGAAAAACAGAGCTGGAGGAATCAGGCTCCTTGACTTCAGACTATACTACAAAGCTCCAGTAATCAAGACAGTATGGTACTGGCACAAAAACAGAAATATAGATCAATTGAACAAGGTAGAAAGCCCAGAGATAAACCCATGCACTTATGGTCACCTTATCTTTGATAAAGGAGGCAAGAATATACAATGCAGAAAAGACAGCCTCTTCAATATGTGGTGCCGGGAAAAACTGGACAGCTACATGTAAAAGAATGAAATTAGAACACTCCCTAACACCATACACAAAAATAAACTCAAAATGGATTAAAGACCTAAATGTAAGGCCAGACACTAAAAAACTCTCAGAGGAAAACATAAGCAGAACACTTTATGACATAAATCACAGCAAGATCCTTTTTGACCCACCTCCTAGAGAAATGGAAATAAAACCAAAAATAAACAAATGGGACCTAATGAAACTTAAAAGCTTTTACACAGCAGAGGAAACCATAAACAAGACAAAAAGACAACCCTCAGAATGGGAGAAAATATTTGCAAATGAAGCAACTGACAAAGGATTAATCTCCAAAATATACAAACAGCTCATGCAGCTCAATATCAAAAAAACAAACAACCCAATCCAAAAATGGGCAGAAGACCTAAATACACATTTCTCCAAAGAAGATATACAGATCGCCAACAGACACATGAAAGGATGCTCAACATCATTAATCAATCATTAGAGAAATGTAAATCAAAAGTACAATGAGGCATCACCTCACACCGGTCAGAATGGCCGTCATCAAAAAATGTACGAACAGTAAATGCTGGTCGGGGTGTGGAGAAAAGGGTACCCTCTTGCACTATTGGTGGGAATGTAAATTGATACAGCTACTATGGAAAACAGTGTGGAGGTTCCTTAAAAAACTAAAAATAGAACTACCATATGACCCAGCAATCCCACTACTGGGCATATACCCTGAGAAAACCATAATTCAAAAAGAGTCATGTATCACAATGTTCATTGCAGCCTTATTTACAATAGCCAGGTCGTGGAAGCAACCTAAGCGTCCATCGACAGATGAATGGATAAAGAAGATGTGGCACATATATACAGTGGAATATTACTCAGCCATAAAAAGAAACGAAACTGAGTTATCTGTAGTGAGATGGATGGACCTAGAGTCTGTCATTCAGAGTGAAGTACGTCAGAAAGAGAAAAACAAATACCGTATGCTAACACATATATATGGATCTAAAAGACAAAAAAAGGTTCTGAAGAACCTAGGGGCAGGACAGGAATAAAGATGGAGATGTAGAGAATGGAGTTGAGGACACGGGGATGGGGAAGGATAAGCTGGGACAAAGTGAGAGAGTGGCATGGACATATATACACTACCAAATGTAAAACAGATAGCTAGTGGGAAGCAGCTGCATAGCACAGGGAGATCAGCTCGGTGCTTTATGTCCACCTAGATGGGTGGGATGGGGAGGGTGGGAGGGAGACACAAGAGGGAGGAGAAATGGGGATATATGTATACCTATAGCTGATCCACTGTGTTATACCGCAGCAACTAACACAACATTGTAAAGCAACTATACTCCAATAAAGGTGTTAAAAAATAAACTTATTGGGCTTCCCTGGTGGCGCAGTGGTTGAGAGTCCGCCTGCCGATGCAGGGGATACGGGTTCGTGTCCCGGTCTGGGAGGATCCCACATGCCGTGGAGCGGCTGGGCCCGTGAGTCATGGCCGTTGAGCCTGCTCGTCCGGAGCCTGTGCTCCGCAATGGGAGAGGCCACAACAGTGAGAGGCCCACATATGGCAAAAAAATAAATAAATAAAAAAAAAATAAACTTATTGAATAATAATAGGTTATTAAAAGGAAATTAGGGTGACATCTTTAAAGACAAACTTCTCTCGTCTCAAAATTCATTTTGATCACAATGCAGAGAGACAAAATCCGAGGCTGGCTAGCTCTTTATATTGACTTAATATAAAATTGCTTATACTTTTAGAACAAACTGTCACCAGAAGTACATTCTTATTTAAATTCACAACATTATTAGGTCAGGCACTCTACACTCCAATTCCATAAGCCACAACTCAGAATTGTAAGTTCATAATCTGTAAAGACAAACTTAATAGAGAAATATTTTAATGGTAACTACACATTTCTTAAAGCATAATAGAACACCCCCAAAAAAATTCCCATAAGAAGACATTTTCCAATTTCCAGTTACGCAGAAGAATAAAATTACTCATAACAAAGTTTCAGTCTTTAGCTGAATAAATAGGGAAGATTAAAATGAATTACTTGAAAAGACAGATATAAGACCTTTAGCAAGTATGTTAAGAGCTAAAAAATGAGTAACATAGTTAATATAAACATTTAGTGCATATCTAAATGTTGGTATGAATATCTTAAATCTTTGGCTCCATTTAAAGTTTTTCTAACATAAGGTTCCAATACTAATTAGAATACAGCAATTTTCATTTGTAATAACCACACTTTACATGATCTTTGGTGATCCCAGAGAATTTGCCTTTCTAACAAGTCTGTGGGTGATGCTGTTCCTGCTGGTCCAGGGTCCATGCTTTGAGAACCACTGATCTAGATAATAAAATTAATTTTTTTTTAAATCTCAACACAGACTTATTCTTTTTTTAAAAAAGTAACCTGTGCCAGTGTCAGTATCTTCTTTTTCCTGTGTAGTTAAAATAGTCTAATACCGCATATCTATCAATTGAAAAGAAATAAGGAAATAATATTTCTATCTACCTGTTTTCCATTTATTAGAAACTGTCTTGTCAATCCATAATTGAAAAACCAAGGCTGTCCAAAGGATATGCCCCACATTATGGCTGTGGCAGGAAGGGTTCCAACCAATTCTTACCTTCCCTTAGGACTGTGTTGCACAAGGTTTCAGCATTCTGTGGACAAACTTTCTGGACCTTTGCTTGGTAGTCCCCACTAACCTTTTTAAAGCTCTTTTAGATGCCAAATATTTATTTGAGACTTTTGTCCCATATAGGCAATGGCTTGAAAAGCACTTAGCTGTTTACTTTTCATCTTACTATAAATTATTTATCCTTCAGTCTGTAAATGGCTATTTGTAGGATTAGACAAATTTTGAATGCTCTGTTGCATCCAAATTCATGCACAATCCCGACAACCTCAGCTGGATTGGCATATGAAACAGGTTCACTAAGCATATGTAAGTAGCGCGAATTATTAACCAGTTAACATCAGCAAATTTGTTTTTGAAACTTATGTTTATGCATACAAGCATTCCCTAATGAGAAATAATATTAGCTATAAAAATCCAATAAAAACATACCTTGAGTAGATTTCTCTACTTCTTTCCTCTTCCTACTCTGGCTATTGTAATTCATCCTCAGCTCTTGGTTATACTCATGCAGAGTTTCTCTGGAGTTGTATGACTGTCTTGGTTTTCTTCCATCTTCACTCTCATCGGAAGAACTGGTATAAGCTAGGTCCATTTCATGCTTGACTTTTGACAGAGGCTGATAGGGTTTGCAGTCTGTTTGCTCCATCTCTGATTAAGCAAGCTCAGTTTCATGAAAAAAGGAACTCCTTTAATGTAAGCAGTCCTGAAAGAAAGAGAGAAAAACACAAGCGATCTTAGATTTGCCCTTTTGTGAGAAAATGCATCTGGCCGATTCACAATTGGTCCTGATAATACTGTCAAAGGAGGGGAGCAAAAGACAAACTAGATGACATGAAGCTAGCCGGAGGCAATAATAACACTGTGTTACACGCATACCTTGTCAAGCAGTTAGGATTAAGCTGGAGGTAGCAGTATTAGAAAATACTCAAGGTGAAAGAGAGCCTTCAAAAATATTTGTATTGGAAGGCAAATAAAGGACAGCGTTTTTCTATGGTGTGTGCATGTTTTTAATGTTAAAGTCTGTGGTCAGATTAAAAAAACATTATAAGATTTGAAAGTGGCCAGAAGTACAAATATTAACCCAGCACATCCTACATCTGAAATGAAAACTGGTAAGAGAACTACATCCAGAAAAAAACACATACTTGCCTCTGGTTTAATATTGCATTTAAGAAAGGGGCTCTGAGGAACAGAATGATTCTGAGTTAGAGAGGCTCATGAAATAAAGTGTCCTTAAGGGGGACTGAGCTCTATGTGTTCATACTGTGGCTTCTTGGCCTCAGGCTTGCAGAGAATTTTTAATGAGCTAGGTGGTGGTAAATTTTTGTTCTTCATAGTACCGAGAGGATATAAACAACACTTCTGGTGAGTATACTGGTGTAGGAACAGCAGGATCTAAATTGGGTTTAGAAATAGAGATTTAACACTTCATGATAAATCAGTGAAAGAACCCCCCTTCCCCACAGAATGCTGAGCTAGGAGCCACTAAGGCTCTTAAGACCCATAGAGGCATTATCCACCTTACTTAGCACAGAGTGGTTTGAGAAGATCAAACGCCACCTGAGATGTCAAAGTCTTCTGAAAAGTTTAAAGTCCTGTCAAAATGTTCTTACTTTCATTCTCATTTTCATCCACTGTTGTAACTCTGCAACTTGGTCCTTTCATACAATGTTAAAGAAACCTAGCTTGAAACCAAATAATGCCATGATTTTATTTTGCAGTGAAAATGACTCCCTTATTTTTCTTCAGCTCTTCACCATATGCATTGTCAAAGAAATCTTCAGGCATCTAGATAGTGGCTCCTTTATCATGTACAGTATCTCACTTTTTGGAATTTCTATTGCATATACAGCAAAAAGAACACTGAAATCACTCAATAAAGCTTATCGATTGACTGATATGCATTCAATGGTACATAATGCTTCGTAGTATGAGCAACGTTTCACCAGTTGAAGCCTTAGTTCCCTAACCAGGTCCTTGAAGGCAGACTCTGAGTCTTATTCCTCTTCATGTCCCCCTTACCACTTAGCACTACTCTAGGCACATATATAGTAAAAACTATTTAACTCCTGAATCTACAAATTCCATTAAGTGGCCCACGGAGACACCTAGCTTGGTTGAATTGACAGCAGAGTTGAGCATCCTTGGAGAGAAAGCAGATAAAGTATTATATATGAATATATACTGATGATTCAACAATAATCTAAGCTCATGCCATCTCATGGCTTCACATACTGACTATACACTCACAGTCCCCCAATCTGTAGCTCCAGCATAGGTCCCTCCCCTGAGCCATACACTTGAATATCCAACTGCTTACTCAATGTCTCTACTTGGATATCTAAAAGGTATCTCAAACTTACTACGTTCAAAACTGCTTCCCTTCCCAAAACTGCTCCTTTCATAGTCTTCTCCACCTTGGTAAATGGCAACTTCATTCTTCTGTTTGCTCAGGCCACACTACTTGAAGTCATCCTTGATTCCTGTCTTTCACATCCCACATGCAATCCATCAGTTCATCCTGTAGGTGTTACCTTTGAACTATATCCAGAATCCAACAACGTCTCTCCACTTCCCCACTACCACACCAGGATTATTGCAATAGCCTCCTAATTGATCTGCTGCTACACCATCAGTCCCTTATAGCACGTTCCCCACACTCTAGCCAGAATGAAGCTTTTAAATCTGAGTCATATCATGTCTCTTCTTGGCTCAAAAGTAGCAATGGCACCCTATTTCCTTTAAAATAAAAGCTGAAATCCTTACAATGACCTCGGTGGACCCCTACAATGTCCACCTCTCCCTCCCCTAACGTCTCCAAACTCATCCTCTGATATTTCCCCCATCTCACACACTCTAGATGTATTATCCTTCTTGCTGTTTCCAAAAATACCAGGCACAATTCCACCTCAGGGCCTTTGCAACCTCTCATTGTAAACCACTGAAAAGTGTCATTTCTCATCCTCCTTCCTGTCTTTCATAGCACTTGTCACTAAATGATATACTGTATATTTTGTTTATTGTCTGCCACCTGTCTCTCCCCTCTAAAATGCAACCTCTATGAAGGTGGATATTTTTATCTGTTCTATTCATTCCTATATCCCCCAAATGAGCACAGTGCCTTGCATATAGTAGACCTTTGATCAATACCTGTTAAGTGAAATGAATAAACCATTGCCAAGACTCACAAGAGGGGCCAGAGAGAATATAGAAATGAATAGGCCATAGTCTCTGCCCCCAAGGAACTCACAGTTGTTATGTAATATAAGTGATAAATAAACAACTCTACTACAAAGCAGAATGAAATGACTCAAAAAAAAAAAGACAAAGTAATGTTTGAGCACCAAAGATGAAGATATTGGGAAAGGACTGCTTATTTGTTCATCACCAACACCATCACCACAACCACTGAAATTCCACTGAGCATCTAAAGCCAATTTTAATCTCTTTCTTCTTAGGTTCCCATAGCATATTCTTCAGAAAGTAAACAGTTGCCAGGATTTTAGACCTTGACTTAGCTACAAACAGTGCAAAGTGAGAAATGTACCAATAGCAGACTTCCGGAGATGCATTGTTGCAGCTGAAGATTGGACTTTCACCCAGAAAAGGAGGCATCAATAAAATTCACTTCATTTTAACCAACACATACAGTTCTTTGTTCATTAAAGACTGAAAGTTTACTGAGCAGGGGTGGAGAGCTATTTTCCACATAAGGTCATTGATAATGCAAAAATATCAATCAAGGACCTTATAATTAAAAATAACAATAACATGCTTGATAAAATGTTATAATAAGGAGATAAATAGGTATTATTTCATTTTCTTAAGCACACTTCCGATCTCTCACTTGCTCTTTCAGTAAAATCTTTGGTTCACTCTGCTTGGGATTAACATAGCAGAGGTATGGCCAAAATAATGCTCCCTCTTAAGCCTCAGCTGGTTATAAATTTACACCACTCGAACCTGACAAGTTAAATTTAAAAATGAAAAACATCTCACTTCTAATGCCTAATGTTGTGTTTTGGTTACTATGATTTATCATGTTAAAATCACCTGTATTTTTATGTATGGAAACCTAGACATTCTTCTTTCCCTCAGTATGTGTACCTGCAACATGAAAATGAGATGAGAAGAGAGAGATTCCTATAGCCATTCTGAACCATTCTTGAAGTTCTAATCACAGCTATTCACAGCTATAATCATTGAGTGCCCCTTGGAAACAATCTTACACCACAAATTGGTAAAAACCAAGAGAAAATAATCTTTCCCTGTTCCCTGACCCTCAACCACAATTTCTTATGTTAAAATCTACGTCAGTGGACAGAGATGGCAGAAGATATACTCCAGCTCTCTTCAGACACATGATACGGAGGCACACATAATCGTGTGCCTAGAGCTGTGAAAGTATACAACTGTGAGATTTACCAAGGTCTTGAGAGACAGAGCTTGATGTTACTCAAAACTAGTTCACCTTTTGAAAATAAAAAAGTGGTAAAACATTAAGAAAGAGATTAATATTTTAAATGTAAAGAAGTTTGAAAGCACAATAATTTTGAAAAGATGCTGTTCTAAATACTCTGAGGTAAAGAATAGGTTCATATCTGCTTAATTGACTTTTTCATTCAGTGCCTGGAGGTCCACTGACAAGCCAATGTCATTTAGACATGATGATGACATTATCAACTCGTAGAAAAACCAAAGGTACATATAATGCAATTCACATCAAAATAATTTTTTATTTCTCTATTATTTTGATAATGATCAACTTTTTTAAAAAAGCAATTGTGTAGGTAAACGCATGCTGCTAATGTAACAGAGTAAAAAACAAAGTCAATTATCTTTGCTACTGCAGAAGATCCATTCAGATAGATCACATAGTATAAATTCAAATGTCACCACCTGTGGTTTACCCTTGTGTTTTCCACTTTCTACTTGCTAACAAGATAAACTCCAAGGTGACTTCAGAGGAGACCCAAGGAGGTTTTATGCTTATTTCTTTAGTCACATAAGGCTATGGAGAGACCATTTGGTATGGGGAAATCACTGGCCTTGGAATGGCAGGACTATCACAACAACAAAAGCAGCAGCTGCCCCAGCAGCAGCTAACTCATGGCAGTCACCAGGTATCAGGCCTACCAGACACTGTTGTAAATGCTTTTCATATATTACCTCTTTTCATTCTTATAGCACCCTATGAGGTAGGTACTACTTTTATACCCATTTTATAAAGAAAACCAAGGAACAGAACAGTTAGGTGACTTGCCCAAGGTCACACACCTAGTAAGCAGGAGAGCTGAGATTTCAATTCATACAATCTGTCTCCAAAGGCCACACTCTTGATCACTATTCCACTTTGTCTTTCAGAAGAATACCTGGAATAGTGGCCTAAGGTACATCATCTTCCCTCTCTCGGGGCCTCTAGTTTACCTAAATATAAAAGGAGATTAGATTATCTCAAAGAGCTCTTCCAGCTCTAAAATCCCATGATTGTATATGAAATTGAAGGGAAGCTTAAACTGATTGCCCCCCCCAAATGGTGGGTATGTTCAAAGCCAAGTTTACATTATTTATCATTCCTCCTCCTATCAGCTTGCCTTCCTTCCTTTCCCCTCCCTTTTCCCAACCCTTCATACTCATTCCAATCTA